TTCTTTTACTTAAATTATATTTGTCTTTACTGTTCTAATGTGGCACAAATCCTGTGTAAAATTATACTACATATTTTTGACATATTGAAATCTGAAATATATACAGAAAGTCTTTACTTTTATCCACATGGCTAATGACTGGTAAAATAAGTCTGGAAAGGGTGGTTATGATCATCACAATGGATCTGCTATTGGATTAGGGTTAGTCCTTCTTCTGGGAAAGATGAGGACTGATGTTGGGAGAAAGCAAACCATGACTTAGAATGCAGGCCAGAGAGGTGTTTTTTTATTGTCCCTAGAGTTCCTGATGCAGGTAAGGGCAAATTCCAACACCAATATCTGGTGTCTTACTTTGTTTTGTATCACTGATGGCTTAATGAGTTGTAGTGTGACCTTTGTCATAGAAGCTTTCCTCTGAGGGCCATTCCACAGAGCACTATATCCCAGAATAACAAGGCAGAACATCCCACATTACCTGAGTGTGGACTCAGATAACCCAGTTCAGAGCAGATATTGTGGGATTTTCTGCCTTGATATTCTGGGATATAGGGCTGTGTGGAAGGGCCCTGAGTCATAATATTTCCGGTTACCAGATTGAATGACTCCCTTTACCATTGTAGTGCTAAAGCAGAACCATAATTTAGCACTATGACTATAACAACAACAAGTATAAAAGTATGATCAGGGAATATACATAGATACTGTAGGAAGGAACATGGGTGGGGAAAAGTATTGTGTTCATAGAGGGGTTGGCGGGAAGGGAAGGAAACCCTGCCCACATTACAAGTTACACCTCAAGCAGGAAAAATAACTTGTTTTATTTATGGCACAACTGCATGCAGGAGCAGGGACAACTAATGCCACTTATGAAATCCAGAAACAGAATAACCCAACATTTACTGGAACTGTTGGCCCATCTGCAGAGCTGCTACAATCAGACACACAAAAAGCCATTTGTGCCAACTTACAGCCAGTATAAGAATCTACCACTAAGAAGTTGATCCCTTGAGAGATCGTTACCCAATCTCTTTTTTAATAACCTCCAAGAAGAAGGCGAGACCATGATTTTTTCAGGAAGTATATTCTACTGTCAAACAGCTCTTTCACTAGGAAATTCTTAATGGTTAAATGAATAAACAGATCATAATTAGTGATTTTGATACAGTATAACCACATTCTTTTCATATGACAATCCTTCTGCTCCCCTCAGTTTACTTCTCTGCCTGCAGATCTTAGCTAGTAAAGCAGTTCTGCCAGCAGTTTGTTCTGGTGGCAGAAGACTGAGATCAGCCTATAGAACAGTGTTTCTCAACCTAGGGGTCGGGACCCCTGGGGGGTCGTGAGGGAGTGTCAGAGGGGTCGCCAAAGACCATCAGGAAACTCAATATTTTCTGTTGGTCATGGGGTAGTGTGTCCACAGTGCTTTCTGGATGTAGGTGAACTACAACTCCCGAACTCAAGATCAATGCCCACCAAACCCTTCTAGTATTTTCTGTTGGTCATGAGAGTTCTGTGTGCCAAGTTTGGTTCAATTCCATCATTGGTGCACTTCAGAGTGCTATTTGATGGTAGGTGAACTATAAATCCCAGCAACTGCAACTCCCAAATGTCAAGTCTATTTTCCTCAAACTTCACCAGTATTCACATTTGGGTCTACTGAGTATTTGTGCCAAGTTTGGTCCAAATCCACAGTGCTCTGAGTCCGCAGTGCTCTGTGGATATAGGTGAACTACAACTTCAGAACTCAAGGTCAATGCCCAGAAAACCCTTCCAGGATTTTCTGTTGGTCATGGGATTTTGGTATGCCAAGTTTGGTTCCATTCCATCGTTGGTGGAGTTCGGAGTGTTCTTTGATGGTAGGTGAACTATAAATCCCAGCAACTACCACTCCCAAGTGACAAAATCAATGCCCCTCCAACCCCATCTGTATTCAAATTAGAGCTTATTAGGTATTTGATCCAGTGAATGAAAATACATCCTGCATCTCAGATATTTACATTACAATTCATAACAGGAGCAAAATGACTATTATGAAGTAGCAACAAAAATAATGTTATGGTTGGGGGTCACCACAACAGGAGGAACTGTAATAAGGGGTCGCAGCATTAGGAAGGTTGAGAAACACTGCTATAGAAGGACATTTCTGTTAGCAGAAGAGACTTGTACCTTATCTTAATCTCCTGTCACTGCTGCACCTTTGAATTAGGAGTGCATGGTCTGCAAAATAAATCTCCTTAACATGTCCTTCTTAATTGCTGGTTCTGGGTCTGTTGATGCATGGAATAATAATACAGAAGCAAAGTGATGAGGAAAGATAAGCCAAGATTAGTAGTACCAGTAGTACAGATTGTGTATTTCTTATCTAAAATGCATAGAACCAGAAGTGTTTTTAATTTTTCAAATTTTGAAATACATACATAATGAGATTTCTTGTAGATGGGGCCCAAGTCTAAACATGATATCCATTTATGTTTCAAATTCATATACAGCTTATACACATAGTCTGGAGGGAATTTTATTTACACTCTATATAAATAAAAATGTAATGTTCATTTGTGGGATTAACGTAACTCAAAAACAACTGGACGAACTGACACCAAATTTGGATACAGTACACCTACCAGGCCAACAAGTGACCATCACTCATAAAAACATTGAAAAACACAGCAGAAGAGACTTAAAAAGCCAAAAAACAAAAAAGTACATTACAACGCATACACAAAACCACACACATATATATGCAAACACACATATATACAAATATATACACACACAAAACACATCTACACAACAATGCATGGCAGGGGACAGCTAGAAGCTTGAACAATTTTGTGCATGAAACTATGTTTGTGTACATTAAGCCATCATAAATGCATCACTGTCTCTGCCACCAAGGTGGACAATTTCAGATTTTGGAATTCCAGATACGAGATGCTCATCCTGTAAAGGTAAAGGTTTCCCTTGACATTAAGGCTAGTCGTGTCTGACACTGGGGGTTGGTGCTCATCTCCATTTCTAAGTCGAAGAGCCAGTGTTATCCATAGACACCTCCAAGGTCATGTGGCTGGCATGACTGCATGGAGCACTTTTACCTTCCCGCAGAAGCAATAACTATTGTTCTACTCACATTTGCATGTTTTCAAACTGCTAGGTTGGCAAAAGGTGGGGCTAACAGCGAGAGCTCACCCTGCTCCCTGGATTCAAACCGCCAACCTTTCAGTCAGCAAGTTCAGCAGCTCAGCAGTTTAACCCACTGCGCCACCAGTGTATTGAGTGTACGCCACCAGTGTACGTGATGGTAGAACTGTGGTTTAATGGACTTGAATGGACTGTGTGTAGGACATTGATTTAATTATGGTGATTGTTCTAATGTTTACTGTTTTTATGATGTTTTTATAATGTTTTATACTGTTTTATTTAAGATGTATATTTATGTTTTTGTTGTCAGTTGCCCTGAGTCCCTCTGTGGAGAACAAGATAGGATGGGATATAAATATCTTAAATAAATAAATACATAAATACATAAATAAATGTTATTTACTAGGGCTTTGGACCATCTTTGATTTTGATTCTATCTAAAATCCAGGAACCAGTGAAGCATTATAGGATAATGTGGGATGCTCCTAGTAGTATAATTGTGATCCTATATATAGCAATTTAATTTAGAAGTTTTCTCGGTTTGCTTGGAGTTACTCCTAAAGCATCTATCACCACTCGAACCACTGTTGTTTTCTTTCCCCAGAGGTAATGAATCACATTTTGTAGGGTGGCGGTGGTTATCATTATTGCTTCTATTATGATTACTCTTTAATTTTTGTGTTTTAAACCACTGCCAATGACACTGACTGACACTCCTGAATTATGGCTGGTACAGGACAAATTGAGCATCCCTTATTCAGAATAATGAAATCCAAAATACTACAAAATCCAAAGGTGCCCACAAGGGTGGCTGTGATAGTGGCACCTATGCTTTTTTATGGTTTTTTGTTTCTTGCACAAAAATTAGTATAAATTTATCTTCATGCTATGTGTATAATTCTATAATATCTGTATCATTCTATAAATGAATGACATGAGAGACAGGGTCTTCTCAGTGGTGGTCGCTTGGCTGTGGAACTCCCTCCCTAGGGATATTAAATCAGCCCCTTCCTTCCTGACTTCCTGAAAAAAAGTAAAAACTTGGCTCTTCAAACAAGCTTTTGGAAATGCAGCGCAATAGATAAACATAGAACTATAAAAGAGTGAACATGGAACGGCTTAGACTGGAAAGTTTAACAGGAAAAGATTGTTGATTATATATTTTTAATGGTTTTTTGTATGGATTTTTATAATGTTGTTCTAAATGTTTTTAATTGTATTTTATGACTGTTGTTGCATCAAATTGCTGCTAACTTGTAAGCCGCCTTGAGTTGTCTTCGGGCTGAGAAAGGTGGGATAGAAATACAGTAAATAAGTAAATAAATAAATAAATATAACATGCATATAAAACATAAATTGTGTTTAGATAACTCCAGGATAACTCCTTATGTACTTGCATGCAAATACAGGTGCTCCCATATCTTGGGGGGGGGGGGGGGGGGGGGGGGGGGATCCAAGATGCTTCTGGTTCCAAGCAGTTTGGACACAGAATAAACAACTTAGGCCACTAACAAAGTCCAGCAATCCAAACTCTCTCAGCACTGGGGAAATTATGTCCAGCATCTTCCCTGATGCTTGAAACAGGCTCAGCATTTGGCCAAAGCTTCAGAGGCAGGGGTGGAGGAAAGGGTTTGACATTTGGTTACACCAGGCGCAATGAAGCCAGATGAGGTCACTGCAAAGAGGTCACAGAGGATATGACACAGGAGTGGGACTTGGAGAGAGAGAAAGAGGGGGATGTACGTGGGAACAAGGAGCCATTGTAACAAGCCCTTCCAAGTACAAGCCATAATCAGCTGTGAAAACTGGCATCCATCCTCCCTGTCGGCATACGGACAATGCGGAGTTTTACACTTTCTTACCGTGGGCCTCCATAAACCAAACGGCAAAAGAGCCAGCAAAGGGAGGTGTGATTAGCTGTCTGAGAAGTCCATGGGTCTCTTGTCTGCTGGGATCAGTCCGTCTGCCTCCTGGTGCAGCCCTGTATTATCTGATAGCAGGAAACAGGAGTTAAAGGACTGGAGGGAATTCACGAATGTGGACTAGCACCCGTACCAGGACTTAGAGCATGAACCTGTTTCAGTCTGATGTAGAAGAAGAAAGGACCTAAACACCCTAAAAGCACCAGATCCTGTCTGATCTTGGAAGCTAAGCAGCGGCAGCCCTGGTTAATACTTGAACATGAGGCCACCACTGAATACTAGGTATTGTAGGCTATATTTCAGAGGAAGGAATTGGCAAAGCCACATCAGAGTATCCCTTGCCTAAGAAAACACTATGAAATTAATGGGGTTGCCATAAGTCAACTGATGACAAGAAGGGAGGAATACACCCACACAGAATTAAGAATTGTGAAACTAGCATGGATTACTGGGGTTTTGACAGTCTGAGGGAGAATACCACCCATTAACATGGGTGATATGAGATTGGGAAGGGTATTATTAACAAATGAAGTAAAAAATATCATTTATGCCAAGATGTTCTTTGTAATTAAGCACCTCTTTAGTATTTAGTTATTATAGTAGAAAAGAGAGCAGGCGGGAATTGCCAGGTATTTAGTATTTAATTATTACAGTAGTAGGAGCCCCTGGTGGCACAATGGGTTAAACCCTTGTGCCGGCAGGACTGCTAACAGACAGGTCGGAGGTTTGAATCCAGGTAGTGGGTGAGCTCCCGTTTGTCAGTTCTAGCTTCCCATGTCGGGACATGAGAGAAGCCTCCCACAGGATGATAAAACATCTGGGTGTCCCCTGGGCAACGTCATTGCAGACAGCCAATTCTCTCACACCAGAAGCAACTTGCAGTTTCTCAAGTCACTCCTGAGACAAGAAGAAAAAAATTACAGTAGTTACTTAAACACTTATTTCCTACAATAAGCTCAAGGTGGCATGCACCTTCCCATTGTAAACCAACAACTACCCTGTGTCATACAGAGGAACCATGACCAGCCCAGGGAATTTCAGGCTCAATGAGGACTTTTATCTGTCCAATACATCACACACTAATCCAAATACTTGATATATCAATGGGTCACATCAAAAATCACAATGTTGACCCTCAAACATGCCTGTTCTTGATTGCACATAAGGTTAACTTATAGACATTTATGTATGGCCATTGATTTTACTGGTGTGCTGCCCTGAGATCCTAGTATATAGGGCAGGGGATGCTTTAAATCACATTGGAACTTCCAAAGGTACTGGAATGGCAACATCTTCCCTGCTGTTCTCCCAATCTGGTCTTCCCATTTCTATACTCCCTCCTGCTTCACAATCTCCAGCACACCCAATTAACACATGATAGTTTCCTTTTCTTTTTAAAAAGTAAACAAAGGGTATTAACAATAAATAGCATGAACTCGGAGAAGCTAGGATACCAATTCTCTAAAGACAAATCAAAGTTCTAAAGCAGATTGTCTCAAGATAGAGGCAGTGCTGGTGACATAGGCTTTATACTTGCAAGAGTCAAGTGGGAAGATGAATAGAGTTGGATGTTCTGCATGGTAGTGCATGTGGTAGTAGGCATATTGCAGGAAATATTAAAAGGGCCAAGTTAATTTGTTTCAGCAGTTTTAAAAAACAGGAATCACAAAGTAATACTTCATATGATGACACTCTAAAACAGTGGGGAGCGGTACCCCTGGGGCGTTGTGAGGGGGTGTCAGAGGGGTCATCAAAGACCATCAGAAAACACACTATTTCTATTGGTCATGTTGGTTCTGTGTGGAAAGTTTGGCCCAATTCTGTCATTGGTGGGGTTCAGAATGCTCTTTGATTGTAGGTGAACTATAAATCCCAGCAACTTCAACTCCCAAATGTCAAGGCCTCTTTTCCCCAAACTCCACCAGTGGTCACATTTGGGCATATTGAGTATTTGTGCCAAGTTTGGTCCAGGTCCATCATTGCTTGAGTCCACAGTGCTCTCTGGATGTAGGTGAACTACAACTCCAAAATTCAAGGTCAATGCCCCCCAAACCCTTCCAGTATTTCCAGTATTTTCCAGTATGTTGGTCATGGGAGTTCTGGGTGCCAAGTTTGGTTCAATTCCATTGTTAGCAGCGTGGTGCACATGCACGGGTGAGAGAGTGTGTGAGGTTGGAGGGAGGCTCGTGCTAACAAGTCCCATCAAGGCAGGGGTGTTCTGTGTGGAAAGTTTGGCTCACTCCTAATGTTGGTGGGGTTCAGAATACTCTTTGATTGTAGGTAAACTATAAATTCCAGCAACTCCCAAATAACAAAATCAACCCCCCCCCCCCCAACCCTACCAGTATTCAAATTTGGGCGTATCGGGTATTTGTGCCAAATTTGGTCCAGTGAATGAAAATACATCCTGCATATCAGATATCTGCATTACAATTCATAACGGTAGCAACCAGGGCCATAGCCAGAAAATTTTTTTGGGGAGGGTTGAAAATTTCAGGGGGGGTTTGAAAATTTCAGGTGGGGGTTGAAACCTGCCTCCTAGCTCACGCTAAAGCAAAGAGCACAGCAGGGGGCAGAGCAGCCTTCAATAGCCTGTAGCTCCGCCCCTGTCAACCACCTCCACCAAGTCTGGCCTTCTTAATGAGAGCATTCAACACCCCCCCCCCCCCAACTTGGTTGCTTCGCCACATCGGCTATTGCTGCAAGTAATGACAGTGTGAATAAATTGTCAATATTTGCTTGAGATAGTGCTTGCAGTTCTGGAGGGACTCTTAATGTTTTGAACCCCTAACACACACACACACCACCCCCCACCCCCCCCCCCCCCCCCCCCCCCCCCCCCCCCCCGGCTACAGGCCTGGTAGCAACATTACAGTTATGAAGTAGCAACAAAAATAATTGTAATGTTGGGGGTCACAACAACATGAGAGGCTGTATCAAGGGGGTTGCAGCATTAGGAAGGTTGAGAAACACTGCTCTAAAATCAGCATTTTGAGGCAGCTGCCTCATTCTGCCTCATTCTGGGCTGCTTTCATTTGGTATTTTTGCCTCCAATCTGCCTGCCTGCCCTTTCCTAGCAGCTCCCTTCTCCCTGCCTCTGGTTTCCCTGCTTTCCCCCCTCCTCTCTTTTGCCTCCTCTTCCTTGCCACATCTCCTTCTCTCCTTCTTCTTTCTCTCCCCCCTCCCTCCTTCCTTGGCTCACTCCTCTCTTTGTTGTGGAATTCCTCGCCTGCCTGGTCGGTGGCACACAGCGCTTGGGCCAGAGAAGCATGCCAAATGCTGTGGGGCTGCAGACTTTCTGTCTGCAAGGGGACTTCCTGTCCCTGCCTGGGACTTACTTCAAGAAATCCAAGGCAAGCCTGTGTTTCCCTCCACACACAGAGGCATACACACACATACCGCCTCCTTGCTGACTGAGCAGCCTGGAGCTGTAATGCGCTCAATGCTTGGAGGCACATAAATCGAGCTATCCGAGGGGTAGGACTGCCGGGGGAGAAGAGAGCGGAATGGAAAAATAAATGGCATGATCAATATTTCGGGAGAAGTGAAGTGCTGACAGAAGGCCTTGCAAGCCGTGGCATAAGATCCTCCTGATATAATTCGGGAGGGTTGGGATGCAAATTGGTCATGAAGGGTTACAAGGAAAAAGAAGATACGTTGATCACTTCACAATGATATCAGAGAAAATGTGGGAATAGAGGCTAGACTTCACCACCAGGTCCTCTCTGGTAAGAATGGGAGCTAAATCCTGATACATATGTAAACCAGAGGGAAAGTGACTTGTTTGGACTCCAGTCACCAGAATCCATCAGCTGGCCACGATAAATAGGGAAACTTTCCTCCCACACTGAATGCATTTGCTTTCTGTATGATGTTCATTGTGATAGCAATTGTGATCACTGCAACCACAAAAATGCAGTATGATGACCTCCATATCTACTGGGAATACATTCCCAGACTTTGCAGGAATATGTGAATTGGTACATAACAACAAACTCTTATCAAAATGAAGGACTTCTGGTCCAAGAATACCATAGAGGCACACTGGAGGACCTAGAAAATGCCCAGAAACAGAATATTACATGAGGCAGATAAATGAAACCAAAGATAGAGGGTCCATACAGTATTTGGTTGACAATTGTGAGGAAAACAACATCACTTTTGTTGTGATGATTATCATCAACTTTAATAGTCAAACTATAAAAGCTCTGAACAAGAAAAAAAAAGTACCACTTCAACACATTTACTAAATTCCACCAAGTCCTTCACTTAAAATCCGGTAACCCACTGTGTTCATCACATTAGGTTGGGTTCACGTGTAGGATAGAGCATTATTTCTGTATTTTAAGCATGGGGGGCAACATTCTTTTCAAACATTTCAGGAGGTGGTTGGGAAATTGATTTTTGGGGAATGATCTAGATGAATGACCAGTTCAGTAATGTGATGGCATTTGTGGAAGGGGAAATTGTGGGAGGAAAGTTAGAGAAAGTTTATTATGCCATGTCTCCATGCTGTGCAGTCCTGGGAATGTACCCCACTTGGACCCCACTTTAAATGCCATAGCTCCATACTAAGTGTTCCTGGGATTTATAGTTTCCCAAGGTCCATATCCTTCTCTGGGTGCATCTGCACTGGAAAATAAATGCAATAGGGACCCATTTCAAATGCTATTATTATTATTATTATTATTATTATTATTATTATTATTATTATGCCATGTCTCCATGCTGTGCAGTCCTGGGAGTCATAGTTTTACAAGGTCCATACCCCTCTCTTGGTGCATTTACAATATGGAATGAATGCCCATGCGCCCCACTTTAAATGTCATGGCTCCATGCAGTGGAGTCCTCCTGCGAGTTATAGTTTCCCAAGGTTCATTCCCTTCACTAGGTACATCTACACTGTGGAATGAATGCAGTTGGACCTTACTTTAAATGCCATGTCTCCATGAGATGCTATTGGGAAGTGCAGTTTCCTAAAGTCCATGAATCTTCTCTGGGTGCAACTACACGGTGAAATGAATGTAGCTGGACCTTACTTTAAATATACCACAGCTCCATACTATGCAATCTGGGGAGTTATTGTTTCCCAAGGTCCACACCCTTCTCTGTGGGGTAGCAGAGAGGGAGGGAGGATTCATCACCACTTTCCCCCCTACCTCCTTGTCTCTCTCCCTTCTTCTTGGCTTCCTTCCTCAGTGGGGCAGCGGAAAGAGAGGCTAGATTGAAAGCTCAGGGAATTGAAGACATGTAACAGCTGACCTTTCAAAGAGAGGACGGTTTTTTTTTTCAACAAAGAACAGGGGGAAAGATAGTGGGTGGGGCAAAATCTCTACAGTGTGATGGCAAATCAATTGAAAGAATACGGAGTACAACCAATAGATTTATATATATATATATATATAGAGAGAGAGAGAGAGAGAGAGAGAGAGAATATATTTTGCTTAATAATACATTAAATAATGAAAAGAATAAGGGAAAAGGAAGAGATATGGGAAGAGGGGGATAGAAAGGGAAGTAAAGGGGGGGAGTTTTAAAAAAGAAAAAAGGGGAAATAAGGAAAAGAGGTAGAAAATAAAATAGTGCAAAAGTGAGTTGTTTCTTGGCTTCCTTGAGGGTTCCCCCTTTTCCTTCTTCCCTTCTGCAACTGATAGATTTAACAGTGTGATGAAAGTAGAGAAATCATCCATTTCATTTCAACACGGAGTCTGACTGAGCTCTACTCTGCCAAACATTTCCCTGCTTTAGTGTGATGAAGTCGAACTGACAACATGTTCCCCACTTATGGCAACCTTAACGTGAATCTATCATATATTTTTATTGGGAAGATTTGTTGAGTGGCTGCATTTGTCACCTTCTGAGTCCAAGAGAGTGTGACTTGCCTAGCAAAGCTCCTGCACACATCTGTCTCCTTAAGGCCAAGATGATTTCAAATCTAGCCCTTTCACATTCTATACAGAGAAACTTACAGTGTATAAGGATGTATTATTGCATCCGGTTGTTCTCTATAAACAGCTTTTAAAAGGAGAACATAGATGAAGTGCCATTAGTGGAACATTAAAAAGTTACTTTTTTTACCCTATAGCTCCCAGAATGCCTGAGTCTATGGTTATGCCAATTAGAGGATTCTGGGAGTTGTAGTCCAAATAAAATCTGTGCATTAGCACTTATTGGCACAATATATGGGATGATGTTGTTCCCATAAGGTGACTGGCTCCATTTATGACTTCTCAGCACAATGCACTGATTCAGGAACTTTACCAAAGAGGCATGAGTCACACTGTAAAATTCCCACCCAGCATGGAGAAGAAGTCGGGGCTGCAAAATACACGCTGCTTTGAAAATTGGGCCTTGTGTACTGAGATAATCCTCACCCACTCTGTTCCCATTCCTGTGGTAAGGCCTGCTACAGTGGCTATAACATAATTGAGGACGCTGGTCCAAAGTCTGTTTACAAAGTTGTCTATTCGGAGCCTTTGTATTATGATGCAAGGATGTTTCCTCAGTGTCCAAATAAATGATGACTGGAAGGCAGATCATATGATAACTGCCGTTGCCCTGCTAAGAAGAATGAGATGGAGAGTGTTGATTACAGTGACTTTGAAAGTGCTTTCAAACATCCGTGGTGGTGTTCTACAATGGGGCCATGGAAAGTTTTTACCTCCATGCAGTGTTAAATTCTGAAATTCAAACACTCATAGCTGTCTCTTTACAATGCTGTTAACGTTGTTGATCCAGGTCAATAAATCTGTTCAAGCACTTTTCAGCTTCACTGAATGCTAGTGGTTTTCTTTTTGTTTTGTAAGGTGAATAGGTCCTAATTGTCCAGTTCAAGATAAAGATACCCAAAAAGTATTTTGCCTGGAAACAGGGAGAGGTCATACTGATTTGTTGCTGGCAAAATCCAACCCCCAGAATCAACTTTGAAGATTACTACTAGGCTTGTAGTGGAGAGATAAGCATAGGACTGTGGGTGGCAGTTAACACAATAACATTGAGATTCTGTAGCTGTTAGTCAGTGGAAAATGCTGTCTTTGAGTGTGATGGAGGGCCCTTCCACATAGCCCTATATCCCAGAATATCAAGGCAGAAAATCCCACATTATTTGAGTGTGGACTCAGGGCCCATCCAGATAGTATCTATATCCCAGGAGCTCCCACAGCAATGAAGAAGGTGGCCATACACCGTTCTCTGTAAACCTGAAAGTAATCGCAACAAAAGGCAAAAAACACGATATTTACAGGTGCAGGTATATTGTGCTTTTTAACTGAATATCCAGATATTCACCTGTCTGTATGTCCTTGCAATTGGATATCACGGGATTTTTTGATCTTGGTTTGTTCCTGGGTTTTTGATGCTTGTTCTTGATTGGTCAATTCCTAGAAAGAAGATGACACTTGAGTAGAAGGCAAAAACTTTGTCCTTGGAAGAGGAACTTCATCCTTCACTTCTTTAGTTTGTGGCAGAAAAATGAAGTTCCTGGGGTGCAACAAGTACTTTCACAGTGATTCGTACACAATGAAACAGGAACAGACACTTTCAATCCAGGAAAAGAATGTCATCATTACTTTAATTACTCAGTCCTTGTTGTGTGACCATCTGTGCAGAAAGGTTTCATGGTGTACTTGTGCTAGGGAACAACAGGATGATGTTGCTGGGTTATACATGTCGGTTCCTCATTGGGTATATGCTGATAACATGAGTACAGTTTACGGCAAAAACTTACTACTGGCTATTGGAACATGGATGTGCTGGAGAGGTCATGCAAGTGACTAATAGGAAAAGCCACGTGTAACCCAGGAACAGCTCTGGGTTATTTGATGCCACAAGTACACAACCAAATCTGTCTGGACAGATGGCCAAGCAGCCTGTAAAAAGTTACAATGACAAAGTTTTGTTATTAGCTTCAAAGTGTGTGTTCCTGTTTGATTATGTAGTGCTGATAGAAATAGTCCTACTCCAAAAACTTTGTTTGTGTGCCAGAAATGTAATGAAACATGTGGGATAAATCCCAGAAATGGGACCCTATTGATGGATGCCACAAGTACACAACCAAATCTGTCTAGACAGATGGCCAGGCAGCCAGGCTCAAAAATAGTAGACAACGACAAAGTTCTGTACCTCATCAAACTTGTGCTCCTGAAATATTTCTACAATCTCATGTTGTCATTCATGTCTGTTCCTGTGTTTAATCTCTCATATGGAACATGTATTAAATTACATCTCTTCCCTCAACCAGTTTTCCCAACTGCACATTCATCAATTTCCCAAGTGTACATTTTTTTTTCTAACTGCATGTTTGCACCCAACCGCATGTGAAACAAATGTGTATGGTTTTAGAACAAGAACATGGATGAAGATTATCCAGAACCAGATCTACCACTTTTCGGTCCAGTTGGCCATACTACCAATTAGAATGTGGAAAAGTCACGTTTTCTGATTAAAATTCCAGAATCTCCAGGCCAACATGACCAGTGGCCATGCTAGCTGAGCGATTCAAGAAGTTGTACTCCAAAAAATGGACTTTTCCAAACTCTGTTTCTAGCTACTGTGATTAACCTTCTTTTCTATGATATGCAGGTTGTTAGCTGAAATAAACCTTTTAGGCAGCTGCTAGAGTAGCTTTATCATAAAGCTTGCCCTCAGCAAAATCTACAGTGCAACAAGGTCTCTCTGTCTCTGCTATATCCTGCTGAGTAACTCCCTTGCTTCACATCCATACATGGGGAAGAAATGGTCGAGAGACGCCTCCCCTCTCTGTCATAGCTCTTCCTCACTTTGTAAATAACATTCTAGCTAAGGCTGGTATGTAGGAAAAATCTCTCAGCTGATTAATGCTTTGCTCACTCTCTTGTCAGCACATCCTGCAAACAGAGCCGTGCTCAGCGTTTAAAGTCTACACAGGTTGCATAACAAGTTACTATTTAGAGGTGAACAGTCTGGCAACTTCACATTCCCAAAGTGAATTGGGTTAGTGATGCACTTCAGTGAAAAACAGGTGACTCGGGACAGAGCTTAGCCAGAAGGCAGCTTTATTGCTTTGTATTTCTTTGTTCTTTGCTTCTGTGTTATTTCAAGTTTTTTTAAATGCCTTCTTCGTGGTGTGATGGGAATAGCCCAATTAAGGATGCACTAATTTTGAAGGGGGGACCCAAGGTGCAGGACTCCTGACTCAGGAATGTGATGCGAAGGAGTGAATGAATGCAAACACCATACTGTCAAATCCTGAGCTAGCCAAGGTGACAGGATGACTTCTTTGAATTTCAAAGTACAGTAGAGTCTCACTTATCCAACATAAATGGGTCGGCAAAATGTTGGATAAGCAAAAATATTGGATAATTAGGAGGGATTAAAGAAAAGCCTATTAAAACTGAAATTATGTTATGATTTTACAAATTAAGCACCAAAACATCACAACAAATCGACAGAAAAAGCAGTTCAATACATGGTAACGTTATGTAGCAATTGCTGTATTTACGAATTTAGCACCAAATAATCGCAATGTATTGAAACACCTGTGGATCCAGGTGGGAGGCAGATTGCTTTGGATAATACAGAACATTGGATGAGTGAAGGTTGGATAAGCAAGACTCTACTGTAATGTACTCCCCACAGGGGAAAGGCAGTGACCATATAATGTAGGTACCTGCTCAGGCTGCTGTCCACAGAGCTAACTGCTGATGGGCAACTTCAAGGCCTTTCTTTTCCTTTTCTGTACGAGACTGCAGCCAGACAATCCTTTATGCAGAGAATATATCCAAAGGGGTTGTTGTTTTTCTGCAATCCTTCAGAGGACAACACTTTATAAACAAAGATAAGTTGCCATCCTCTATAAGGTACGCACAAAAATAATAGTAAGAAAAGATTTCTATAGAAGTGCCAGAACAAACCCAAACCAACTCATAACACCACCCTGCAAACTCTTACAATCCAGCTGCCTCTTCAATCAGTGTTACTCACTTCCTGTATGACTCACAAATGAAAATGATTCTTCCCTTTTCTGCCAAGTGTTTGACTACAGACTCATTCACAAATCTTTCCCCCCCCCCCCCCCCCCGCTTTGTTTCAATGTAAATAATGGTCATGCAAGCACTTTTGGGAAATAAATGTACTGTATATGTGCATACATAGCAGCAGGAAAGCGATATTACTTCATGGGTTGCTTGACCAAATTAGAGAAAAAGGATACATCAGTGAAGAAGGCTAGGAATGGTGGTTCTTTTGTTGAATTTCCAAAATGAATCTTTCACTGGTAGATACCATGTTAGTCTGTTCATAATGGTGAGGGCTTCATAGAACATAGTGCTAGCTCTTTAATGCGCATGACTATGGACAAAAGTCAGTCTCTCTTCTGTTCTACAACATACTTTGGAAAACTCATACTTCCGCTCTCAAAGTAAAGTCAATTGTATAAAGCAAATGTTAGTCTGAGTAATCTTTAAGGACAGAAACATGTAATTTAAGATATTTCACACAGAGAGAAAAGCATAGAATTGGAATGGACCCTAAGAGCCCACTATCTGCCCCCCCCCCCCGCCATTCAGGGATACACAACTAAAGCACTCTTGGGAGATGTGCATCTAATCTGTTTAAACACCTCCAAAGGAGTGCCCATCACCCTCTGATGCAGTTTGTCCCATTGTAAAGCAGCTCTAACAGCCAATAAATTCATCTTGATGTTTAAGATCTAGCCTAGAATCTGCTGCTGCCTGTTATTCTTATTATGTGAACTTCTTAGATTTGGGGAACTTCTTTGGTGCGACTTTCATATGAATTACTAGCACAGAATGAGTTGGGATTAAGCAAATATTCTGCCTTTCCTCCCCTTAATTGATCTTTCTGTAGAAAGGGGAAAATACCAGAATATACCATGGGCAAACACAACACACTTTAACATCTTGTGAACAGGGCAAGATGAGTGCATTAAAAATGGAAGCACACAGAGAACTGTAAAGCTGGGTGCATCTGAGCCAAGGGTGTAGCTAGCTATTGGGGGAGGAAGGTGAGGGTTTTTCCCATTAATGGGAATTCTACCCCTAATGAAAATTTCCTTCAGTCCCCAAATATCTAGCATTGCAGAGAGTGAGAGACTGAAAATCATTCACACCTAGAATGTTTGTATTCGCTGTGTTTGCACTGCATTCCCTGCCCCTTTTCTTTGGATGCATAAACTGTCACCAGAATCCCATTTCCTTAACATAACTTTATGTATATTATCAAAGTAGCAGAAGTGCTAAGAAAACCCACTGATGAATTGAGAATATCAGCATAGGAATAGTGTCAAGAGTGCTCAGTGCAATGGAGGACTGATGCACATTCATGCTCAGTAGGCATCAAGTGCTTTACCAGCCCTGTACTTGATATGGACATTATCAAAGGGACCAATTCTAATTCTTGCTTACTTAAATCCATTCATGAAGATGCAACTCCCATACAGGAGTCTGGCCTTTAGTTCTAAATACTCTGTTTAAGTGTTAAGCTACAGAAATGCTAAAAATTTGGGGATGGAAGGAAAATTTCATTGAGGGGAGAATCCCTATTTGGAAGGCAAATATTTGAATATGCTTTCAGTCGCAAGTGAAGTTGCAGACAAATAATTTTGCATGCAAATTTGTTCTTACCTTAACCCAAGCTAATTAAAGAGAGAGGAAGCAGGCTTTTTGCCCTCACTACTGTTGTACCATCAAGTCAGAAGTCCTTTCCCATCTTTTGCAGATTATCAAAAGATTTAACAGAACTTAGTCAAATGTATACTGTTTGTTATTGTATGCCTTCAAGGTATTTCTGAATTATGATGACATGAAATCAGCCTATCGTGTCATTTTCCTGGCAAGATTTATTTAGAAAGGGTTTACCATTGCTTTCGACTGAGGCTGAGAGAATATGAGTTGCCCAAGGTCACCCAGTGGGTTTCCGTGGTTGAGGTGGGATGTCTTATGAACTCCAGGTCAAGCCACTACAGCATTCTGACTGTCCTCTTCTGTCAAACCTATAGCAAAATCAGAATCCAACTATAGAATCCAGCAGCTAGCATGACTACTAGACCTGTTAGCAAGGGGGTTATGAGAGCTGTAGTCCAAAAAAGAGTAAACATTTTCCAATTCTGACCACTCTTTCTACAGCTATTTACTGGGAGCCATCTTGGGTCTCACTCTGCAGAAAGGCTGCATACAAATGAAATGAATAAATAAAATATGGGAGCCCTCCATGTGCTGGGTCCTATTTCCCAACACAGGTTTGGCACCAAGAAGGTCCCCATAAAATTCAGAGTAGTTGGGAGAGAAACAGCCATAAAACCATGAGTCACCTCCAGAACAACAGAAACAACAACTTACCCCATGCTCTCCATATGTTATTTATTGAGAAATGTGT